CACTCATTTTCAGCTTTGTATTCTTGTTATTAAAAAGCACGCCTAGACACTCCACTGCAGCGCCCATAACCCAGGTTTAAGGTGTCATTTAGCTCCTAGCTTTCACATCTCAGTTTCTAACATATAAAGGTCTTGGCAGACCCATCTAACAACATTTCCCCCCTCCTGTTGTACCCATTGGAATGTGCCGCGCATTATGTTTCCTAATTGTAATTTTACAGACGTGCCATGCAATACCTGAATGAAGCTTGTGGACCACCAGCAGGCCGCTGACCACATGCTAGAAACCTGTGGTATGTGCGAGTCCCTGGTGAGCACCCGTCTAGGCACTGACCAGACGGAGACACAGGCCTTGCTTTTCTTCTGGCAAGGCAATTGTGGCCTCCTGCATTTCCAGGCCACACCCTGAGACACATTTGCTTATTATTCCATTATATTACTCCACGGCTGCTTCTGTAACATGATCACAGAGGGGAGGGCGGGATGCTAGATTTAGCTCCACCGTCATCTGCCCTCCACTTTTTAGACATTAAAAATAGTTGATTTAAAACAAGCTAAGCCCAATTAAAACTGAGTTGTCTGGGAGCTCTGGGACCGGCTACCTGGCTCAACGCTATCTTGACCGGAAGTTCGCTAGATTTAGTTAGAGGAGGAGGAGTGGGGCTACATGACCAAGGGGTGGTCTCTGCCCACCCCAACTTACACAACTGAAAAGAGAAGCAGGGGGAGTTTTCCTCCTCACAGGCAATTTAACCTTGTACAGTGGTACCTCGGGTTACATACGCTGCAGGTTACAGACTCCGCTAACCCAGAAATATTACCTCGGGTTAAGAATTTTGCTTCAGGATGAGAACAGAAATTGTGCAGCGGCAGTACAGCAGCAGCAGGAGGCCCCATTAGCTAAAGTGGTGCTTCAGGTACAGTGGTACCTCAGGTTAAGAACTTAATTCATTCCGGAGGTCCGTTCTTAACCTGAAACTGTTCTTAACTAGAGGCGTGCTTTCACCAATGGGGCCTCTTGCTGCCGCTGCCACAGGATTTCCGTTCTCATCCTGGGGCAAAGTTCTCAACTCGAGGTAACTCTTCCAGGTTAGCGGAGCTTGTAACCTGAAGCGTTTGTAACCTGAGGCATTTGTAACTCGAGGTACCACTGTAGTGGTAAGCTAGGAGCAGAAACCGGGAAGGCAGGATCAGCAAGTGCCAAGGTTTCACACCTGTTTGGGACTATGTTAAGCACCGTGATCCTGCTTGACCCCAGCCCACCTTTTGAGCTGTCAGTAATCAGCATGCAGGGGAGCGGGTGGCGCTGTGGCCTAAACCATTGAGCCTCTTGGGCTTGTCGATCGGCAGGTTAGCAGTTCTAATCCACGCAACGGGGTGAGCTCTCATTGCTCTGTCCCAGCTCCTGCCAACCTAGCAGTTCGAAAGCACGCCAGCGCAAGTAGATAAATAGGTATCGCTCCAGCGGGAAGGTAAACAGTGTTTCCATGCGCTCTGGTTTACGTCACGGTGTCCCGTTGCGCCAGAAGCGGTTTAGTCATGCTGGCCACATGACCCAGAAAGCTGTCTGTGGACAAACGCAGGAATAATATGTATAAGAGCAGAAGCAAACGAGCAAAGGCCATACGGTGGAAAAATCTGGAAAATGGATCCCAGACACTGATGCGCTGGTTCGCTTTCCACCCCTGCCTAAAATCGCAGCAAACAGCCTTCAAAATCGCAGCTAAGGATGCCAGGAAAAGGAGCACAGGGATTAAAGTATACATTGGGGTTGCAGGGGAGCTGCCCTACATGCAGCTGAGAGAAGAGAGTGGTCTCCAGCTAGGATGAAGACAATAAATATCCAATCCAGGGAGTTTGGGGTAGGAGGGAGGAAAAATGCAAGAATGCAGGAATTGTTTGCCTGAAAGCCAGAGGAGGAGGAGCAGCTGCAGACAGCAGCAGATCCTGCAGACCACGCCCACAGCATCTCCAGGGACATCAAGATTAATCAGGCCTTCAATAATAAGGGAAGAACACAGGGGATTGAGTGAGAGCATATGCTTCTTGAGATGAAAGCAGAGCCCAGGCTCCGAGTCCAGTCAAGCTCAGGCTGCAAGCCGAATCATATCTACTCATGAGCAAATGCTATTGAATCCAGTACGTACTCAGGAGCAAGTTCTATTAACCCCAGGCTAAGTGAGGTTAGGATTGCAGCCATAGGCTGTGTTTACACTATACCTTTTGAGGCATATTCTTTCCCTCAAAGAATTCTTGGCTCTGTGCTTATTCCCTTACAGCAGGTTTTCTTTTCTTTCTTTTTTAAAATAATTTTTATTGAATGATTTTATGTTACAAAACACAATACAGCCATACTACCACTAAATATAATTAAGAAATAAAAATTACATACATCAATATTTAGTTTATTTGTTATTTACTGTCTTATTTTCTCCCAAACATTCCATACAAAAACACACCTATGTGCAGACACCCACACAAAATGATAATAATGAAAGTAAATGTTTTCCCCTTTTATCTTCCAAAATCTTTTCTTCAACTTTGACTTCCTGTCAAGTCCCTTTGAATATATTTTATCTTACAGTCAAATGTACACAAAACAATAAACCTTTCTATATAAATTTTCCAATACATTCTAAAAACATAATAAATCCTTAATTGTTGTCCACCTCCTTTTAGTTCCTTTAGCACTCAAATGCTAGCACAGAGTCAAAACTATTATTGTATTTTTGAACATATCTTCTATAACCATCCCATTGTTCCGCAAATTTTTGCTTTGAGTTTCCTCTGAGTTTCCTAGTCAGTTGAGCCGTCTCCACCAATTCCTGTAATTTGATTTGCCAATCTGTTATTTTTGGAGTACAGCAGAGGTTTTCAACCTTTTTGAGTCCACGGCTCCCTTGACTAACTACATCCTTTCTGCGGCACCCCGTGGGGCTCAGGAGCCCAGTTATGTCACCCCTCGCCTGCAGAGCTGGCAGCCTCTCACCCCTTTTCGAACACCCTCCCTTGTGGAGGGTTCCCTCAGCCTCCTCTCGTCTCCCCTCTCCTTGGGAGTCCTTTGGGCAGCTGCTGTTGCCACCGCTGGTCTCTGAGCTGACCTCCCTTCCCCAAGAGTGGTGCCTCTTCCCACTGCCCCACAAGGGCCTGGGACTTGTCTATCTATTCCCAACAGCAAGCGCTGGCAAACTGGCTGGCTGGGCTCCCTTGCTTGCTTGCTCCAAGGCCGCCTCAGCTCCTGGCAACCAGCACCTCCTGACCAGCCCCAGAGGCACCATTCACCTGGGGACCTTGTAGCCGGAGCAGCTGCAACAAACAGCTGTGCAAGCCCTTTGGGAGGCAGAGACGTGAGAGGGAATCAGAGGAAGGGAAGAGGGACAGAGGCCAGCACTGCCTGCAGCACCCCTGACCATCATTCAAGGCGCCCCAGGGTGCCACGGCACACTGGTTGAAAACCACTGCCTGTTTACAGAGTTGAAATTCCCAGCAACACCTTGACAAACTATAGTGCCCAGAGATCTTTGAGGGATAGAATGTGCCTCAGATGTACTTCGATGGAGCAGCGTGCGCACAGCCTAAGTCTCCAAATCCATATTTAACGCCTTAGGAGAATCTGAAAATAATAATAGTGTCCTTGAACACGAGCAAAGCATATTTTGCTCAGACCCGTGTATCAGTTCTCAACAAATCAGGGATTAGGTGCCAAGGTAATAGAGAAGTGGGAGCAGCGATGCCTCATTTCAGAGATCAAACCTAGCTTGATCAGGAGCTGTTCCTTTAATCAGGAGACGTAGCAACATCCTCTTCTTTTTGTTCAGAATAATTTAAAATAGCAGTACTTGTTATATGAGAAGGTCAATGGGCACACCTGTGCAACTCTGGAGTTCCTTTCTGCAGCAAACCTCTTCCAAAATCACAATAAGCTCATGGGCACAAGCGCACCCAAAGGGTCTTAACAAAAGAACTGACCATACTTATCGGTCCACCAGAAAAAGCCCAGAAGAGCAATACAAGAAAGGGGAAGGAATCACAACTCCTGTTCATTAGATCTCCCTTTGGCGAAGAAAGGAAATGGAGCACCTGTAAGCATGTGAGGAATGCGATATGAACTCACACTGATGTACAGTTCGGCCACCCACGTTCCCACAAACATTTTCCCTTCCAAACGTACTCCCTTGATAACGATGGTTACATGAGAACTATCACCTTGAGTTAACTGTTTTAAGTAGAGCTGTGAATGTTCTACGACAGCTCCAACACCAGAGTTTATCAGGCACAATAAAAATCTGCATCCCCTAGATTTCAGCAGTTTTTGTTTTATTTGTTTTTAAGTGTCTAGTCCTCATGGTTAGAAAGGGTTGGAAGTAGCTGAGAAATGCCTCCAGAAGCATTCAGAAGTGTATGTGCAGAGAAGCGGGGAGGCCCAGCAGGATTTCCAGTGGTTACAGAGGAAGTAGCTCTCTCCCCAGAATGCGGAAGCAGTGTAAAGTTTGTGAAATAAGGAAATATACGCAACTTTGTACACACACGGCACAGCATTACATTTTTTATTTCAAAATTTGCAATTCCTTTTTGCTTTTGTATTTTACTGTTGATATGGTCTGTGGGTTGAAGTTCTCTCTCTCTCTCTCTCTCTCTCACACACACACACACACACACACACACACACAAACTTACCTATATGGATCCTGAACACTTTGCGAGTCAAACGTTTTGGCTCCCAAACGCCGCAAACCTGGAAGTGAGTGTTCTGGCTTGCGAACCTTCTTTGGAACCTGGATGTCCAACATGGCTTCCGCGGCTTCCGATTGGCTGCAGGAAGCTGCTGCAGCCAATCAGAAGCCGCACTTTGGCTTTGGAAGTCGAACTGACTTCCGGAATGGATTCCGTTCGACTTCTGAGGTCCCACTGTAATTGTCTGAGGATCCCTACCCCTAAATTCTCTATGAAATATAAACAAGAGACAGAATAATCTTTTCAAGGGATATGTCTGGGCCGTGATGACAGACCTTGCTCCTCTTGAGACTCTGCAAAACCAATTCCTACGTCGGCTCCTAATGCTCCCCCTGTGCGTAAGCAACGCAGCCATGCGACTAGAATTGAAGATCGCATCTTTAGAAACTTGCCTGTGGAAGCAAGTCTTCAATTATTGGTTATCATTGTGGCATAGATTACCAGACCATTACCTTGCCCAATGCTTATGGCGAGATGAATTCTCCAGCCTTTGGACCAGTAGAATTCATGCCAAACTCCTGAGCTATGGAATCACGCCTATGGAGGCCCGAACCCCAGATCAAACCACTGCTCAAAGACTGATCCGCCAAAGACTGGATGACATCGATTTACAGCGAAATTATATGCTGGGGGGAGGTGTTTGTTCGCCCCAGAACATTGGTATCACTTTAACTTACTGCGTTCCATCATACCTCTCCTCCCTTTCGACTGTTGCCCATAGGCTGGCCTTCACCAAAGCGAGGTTTAATGTTTTCCCTCCAATGCCCTGAGACATAGATTCTCAAAGGGCCAAACCTCCGCCATGTGCGAATGTGATAAGGAGATGCCGGAGTCGCTTCAGCACATTATGTTCACTTGCCCCTTATTCAAGGTGCCACGGGCAAATTTGTTGGGATCAATCATACAGAAATTAGAGGGTACTCCACCAAAATTCCACCTTGCCCAAATCTTGCAGGATAAGGATACCCATACGACCCTGAAAGTGGCTAGGTTCCTGGTCGCTGTCCTTACTCAAAAGCGTTGCCAAGGAGCACCACAAGCTAATTAAGGCGTAGTATGCCATTCCATCTTATAGTAGTTTATTGTTATAGTAGTGTTTTAGTGGCTGTTTTTTCCCATGTGCACAGGTTGTTATTTATGTCTTGTTTTTATCTGTATGGGCCTACGGCCGTAATAAATTATTATTATTATAAGGGATATGGGACAGGAAATGAGGATAAGAAATATCCCCCACAACCCTCAAGATTAAGAGTCTCGTGCTCTACCGAATAACTTTCTCCAAAGAAACCTGGAAACTAGTTTTTTAAGGGTGTTGGGAATTGTAGCTCTATGAAGGGTACACTCAAGTTCCCAGTATTCTTTGGAGTGGGGCTTTAGATGCCCAGATAAAAGAGTCCCAGAATCTCTTTTTACCAAAACAAAAACAAAAAGTACAGACAGGGTTTGACGTAGTGGAACACACAGCAACACACATTCTGTATCCAGGGCAGCTGTCTACCAGCTCCATCTGGTATGCAGGCTGAGACCCTACCTGCCCGCAGATTGTCTCGCCAGAGTGGTGCATGCTCTAGTCATCTCCCGCTGGGACTACTGCAATGCACTCTACGTGGGGCTACCTTTGAAGGTGACCCGGAAACTACAACTAATCCAGAATGCGGTAGCTAGACTAGTGACTGGGGGCGGCCGCCAAGACCACATAACATAATGAAAGATCTACATTGGCTCCCAGTACGTTTCCGAGCACAATTCAAAGTGTTGGTGTTGACCTTTAAAGCCCTAAACGGCCTCAGCCCAGTATACCTGAAGGAGCATCTCCACCCCCATCATTCTGCCCGGATGCTGAGGTCCAGCGCCGAGGGCCTTCTGGCGGTTCCCTCACTGCGAGAAGCAAAGTTACAGGGAACCAGGCAGAGGGCCTTCTCGGTAGTGGCGCCCGCCCTGTGGAATGCCCTCCCATCAGATGTCAAAGAGCTAAACATCCGATGTCAAAGACTTCTGGAGGCAGCCCTGTTCAGGGAAGTTTTCAATGTGTGACATTTTAATGTATTTTTAATCCTTGTTGGAAGCTGCCCAGAGTGGCTGGGGAATACATAATAAATTATTATTATTATTATTATTATTATTATTATTATTATTATTATCTGCAAGGAAGCTCTGACAAGGAAGCGTGCATTTCGACATCAGATGCCGCCCTGGAGAGTGAGCTCAGTGCCATTGGGCCCTGGCATCTGTTTCAGAAGCTGATACAGAGTCAGCCGCTCTCCAAAATATAATTACATATTATCTCTCATATAATGCATTAGCAGCTGGGATACAGAACACGCCGCTCTCTGCCGAATTGGCAGCGGGAATGCATTTCCACTGAGCATGCGCAAAGTGCACTCCCCTCCGCGCACCAGGCAAACCACAAACATCCCATCCTTACCGCTACAGGGTGTTTTTATTCAGGTAAGCTTTTAAGGGTGGCGAGTTGGTGTAATTTTTAGAGCTGGTCTAATTATTCTTCCTAGGGTTTTATGAAATTTTAATGTTTGGACAAAGGGTTTTCTTTCTATCACTGAACCGGGCATTGCACCATTACCAGAACATTAGGCACCTTGAACAGTTTCTTGGAAAAGGCAGGATATACATTTAATAAACAAACTAACTAAGCTTGGAAGGAGAGGAGGCAGGGAAGCAAAGTTCCCAGAGATCAGGAGAGAAACCATTATACGTGATTTGTGGTAATAGCTGGGGTCATCTTGTGGCTACGAGAACAAGCTATGATCTGGGAGAGGGGCCAGTTCCAGTCTCATCTCAAGCCTCGAAAACACTGCATAGCTGGCCTTATGGGAGCCCCTATCCATCAGCCTCCGCTCCAACAGAACACCAGCCTCTCCTACAGGACTGTTGCAAGGGTCACTGTGGCAATATATGCAAAATGCTCGGAATAATGGAAAATGCCACGTCTTAGTACGACCCAGTGAGCCGCAAAGGAATTCAAAGAAAGGAATACATTCTCTGCCCAATAGTGTTCCTGGACCCGGAAGATGCCTGCCCTGCCTGCAGACCTCTTTTAGAGACCCAGGCCCCTCACTCAACCCCATATGAAGTTGCCCTATATAATACCTAGACCACATTCACTTCTTTTCAAGTGTCCCTCGTTTGCACAAGATGCAGAAGGGACGTGGGTGGCACTGTGGGTTAAACCACAGAGCCTAAGGCTTGCCGATCAGAAGGTCGGCGGTTCGAATCCCCGCGACGGGGTGAGCTCCCGTTGCTTGGTCCCTGCTCCTGCCAACCTAGCAGTTCAAAAGCACATCAAAGTGCAAGTAGATAAATAGGTACCACTCCGGTGGGAAGGTAAACGGCGTTTCCGTGCACTGCTCTGGTTCGCCAGAAGCGGTTTAGTCATGCTGGCCACATGACTCGGAAGCTGTAAGCTGGCTCCCTCGGCCAATAAAGCGAGATGAGTGCCGCAACCCCAGAGTCAGTCACGACTGGACCTAATGGTCAGGGGTCCCTTTATCTTTACCTTAAGTTGGGGGGGGGGGACCTAACCTCTGGGTGGAGGGACAGAGAGAAAGCAGACAGGAGGGGCAAGGAGAACAAAAATGGGAATGGACCAAAACAGACTGGGTGGTGTATCAGCATTTGCAGGAAGCATCCAAGCCACCTGGTGGCATAACTTCATTAGAGTTTACAATTGTTTTTAATCTGCTTTTTGGACTGGCAATGTTCTCCCCAGGAGGGGAGATGCTCCGTTCCTGGAGCTAATGGGATACCAGGCCGATGGATGGAGCAGGAAGTACCCTAAGCCCACCCACCGCAAGCACCCCGCCTTTGACGTATTATCTCTGAGTCAATGTAGCCCTCAACAGGGAAGGGGGACGGATCACCACAGCGGATCTGCAACCATCTTATTCCTCTCGCAGGTGATGAGATGCTATATGGGACTTAGGTTTTGGGGGGCTGTCAGTCAAGCTGCCCTTAGCGAGCCACCATCACGCTTGCCTCCACCCCCAATCTTGAACCAGTCTCCACCACTATCTGAAAGGGAGAAGGGAGGCAAACAGCAACAGTGCCTCCTCCTCCTCCCTCTATGTTTGCTTGAAGAGGGATGATGGGTGGACGGCAACAGTGAGGAAGAGGGTCAAGAGTTCTGGTGATTGGCAGGGACCCCACCACTGAGCAGTGTTAGAAATTAGCCAGGCGCCAGGTGCGTTTTGCAACTGGTGCAGGACCAATTGCAACCATGTGGAGATCTCTGGATGCCCAGATGGCAACTGGGGAGAGCAAAATGTCACTTAAGAGAAGGATCTGAAATAAACCCCACTGCAAAAAAAGGCACTTAAGACATTCCATTGTGGTGACCGTAACCTAAGTTTTGCAATTAGGTTTTGTATCTGAATTTCCAGCACTGCTACCAAGGTGTGGGCCTGTTCAAGGATCCATCCTAGAGTGGAGAAGGGAGAATTAAAGAACCTCACTCAACAAATTTCAGCAAGTGAGTAATCTGCAATTTTAGGTGCTTCCAAACTTGTCGGCCTTTTTGCAGATGAATTCCACAGCAAGTCATTGATGCAACAACGGTGCATTCGAGGTAGATTTATACTGGACAATCCACACATCGTTCCATTTTATTAGTAGTTCTGCAATGCTTCCCTGTGTTTGCTGTCTGGAGAGGCACTCTTGCACTACAGTGTGACAAAAGTCAGACACAAAAGACCCCTGGAACATTTGCGATGGGTACAGATTTCAGCAGGAAGTTACCGGACTAATTGGAAACGAATTCCCAACCTGAAACCTCTGCAGGCAGCACTGAAAGCGAGATCACGAATAAATGCCCTGGGTACCATCATGAGCACAAGTCATCACGAATGCACAATTAAGAAGGATGTGCAGCAGGCCATTTGAAAGACTGAAATGGGAGCCAACAGCCACACTTTAGGGACCCATTTCAAGTAAATGAATGCCAAGGCTTAATCCTATATAGCATGTCCTAATAACAAACTCATTCTCCAAGTCGGAATCCAAAACAGGGCCATCCACACACAAATGGGAGGCATTAGCAAGTTCTCAGGGGGACCTCAAGGTTCACAGAAGACCAGAAACACATTTAGGGGCAACAGGGTGGGGGAAACAGACCAGTAATAACTGATCACACTTAGCACTTTGAAGGGGCAGTGTGGAAACTGATAGAGTAGGAATTGTCCAGACTAGGAATTTTCCAGACTTGAAAGGGAAACCAAACAGACCAATTCTTCATGCACCAAAACCAAAGGTCCTAATTAGGTATAAACATGAAGGATGGTGGTGGAGGCACAGAGAGCCAGAAAAAGATGGATACACAGGTCAGCATTTGCACATGGTGCCAACCAATCTATGGTGAATCCTGTGGCCCCAGGCAGCCAACTGTACTCCAGTACATATATTTTGTAAAAATTGGTCTTCTCCAACCTACTACCCTCCGGATGTTTTTGTACCACTAATCTCATCAGCTTCATCATCAGGGATGATGGGGCTTGTAGTCAAAAACATCTAAAGGGAATCAGATTGTATAATGCTGGTCTGGGGATTAAAAAATGTCATTCCATTACAATAAAAGCGAGGTCCACAGCTCAGTAACAGATCATCCAAAAGGTCACAGGTTCACTCGCTGGCTTCTTAACACAAGGCTGGGAAATATTCCCTGTCTGACTCTCTGGAGAGCCACTGCCAGTCATACTGAGCTAGCTGGGCACTGACCTGCAGCTTTCCCAATTATACCTGTTAGTTCCACCTGTTAAAG